CACAGGTAAGGCCTACTTTTCCTTCCGTGTACCAATTTTAAGTTATCACCTGTTAATGATTATGTATTACGTATCAGTGCTTTCATTTTTAACAGTCATAGGAAATTCACTTAGTTTAAATTACTTCATTTTCCAGCTGCTTTCAACATCGTTTTGATTAAAGCCCAGTGGCAAAACACATGCATAAGAAGACCTTTCGTAAAAAATGCCTGAGCTGCGAAGTTTCATGCCCACACAGTTAGTATTTGTCTGTAACTAACAGCCACACAATGGAAGTACCTGTCCTGTATCTTCCTGCAGACACTGCTTGCCTAACTAAAGGGCGGTGCCTACAACATCTGGTTTGGGTTGGATGTCAGGGGAAAGTTCTTGACTAGGAGAGTGCTGAGGTGCTGGAACAGCTGCCCAGAGAGGCTGTGGATGCCCTGTCCCTGGAGGTGTTCAAGGCCAGGTTGGATGGGGCCCTGGGCAGCCTGGGCTGGCATTAAATGGGGAGGTTGGTGGCCCTGCATGTGGCAGGGGGTTGGAGCTTCATGATCCTGGAGGTCCCTTCCAACCTGGGCTATTCTGTGGTTCTGTGCGATTCTCTGCAGCAGCTCATCAGTATGAAAAGCATTCTGATTTTTCAGAACTTTTACAACAAAGCACAAGTGTTTGTGACATCCATCACACCAACATCTCACTTCAACTCCTTTTCCAAAGGAAACTGGGAACAGAGAATGGCTGCTTTCTGATCTAACATTTTCACCAAAACTTAACCTGGAGCTTCAATACGAGCTGAACTGCTTCTTGAAAGCTGGACACGCTCTGCTAACACACAGATTTCTTCCTTACCCTTGCACTCTGTCCAGCAATGAGTTGGTCATCTTCTGTCTGAATGCTTGTTCTGCTTCGGACATCGAAATCCTCCGTCTCGAAGTCGGAATCATCCAACTCCTCGGGGGTCTGAGGGGAGAGAAGTGCACCAAGTCAGATAGCAGTCTGAATGGCTCTAAAATCACAGAGAACACTGTGTCTGTGAGCATGGAAATAAACAAAGGTAAGGATTATTGGATGTTCTGAGCAGGAAGGTGCACCAGGCCGGCGCCCGGCTGACGAACACGTGTGGAACACACAGCTGAGTGCTCACGTTAAACACGGTAGAAATCCCCCAAATTACTGAGCAGTCACTGAACATCTGAGATTTGTCAGAGGACACAAATGCACAGAGGAGCTGAAATACAGAAAAAGTCTTTCCAAAATGAACATCACCTTTTGCAACTTTGATAAATGTAAAAGCTTCGCTTGACATTCTGAAGCTAAAATTACATACAACTTTCAGCCCTGGTTCACAACCACGGACGTCTTTAGCACAATTATGAATCAAAGCATCGACTGAATTAACAGCAGACAAAATGTATCGAAATTTATTCTTATCCCCCAGGAGAAACTTAAAATTTTTAGCTAGTAAGGGCCAGCTTTTATGCTGTAGGCTAAACCCAGCTGACCTACTTCCCGCTCGCCTAGAATTTATTTTTGCTACTGCCAGTCTATGGCTGGCAACATTTTTATAAAGCTTATCAGTTCAAACAGCATGTTTGTTAAAATACTGCATGCATCTCTGCTGAGCGTGGAACTTGATGGCAATTCTGCAGAGCTGGATCAACAAAGAACTTCACTGATCAATGCCACGAATTGTGATTAATAGACAAAATGCAAACAAAATCCTTGCTCTTCAGGTTTCTTTCCCATGCTCAGTTTCACAAACTTGTTTCCTGATATGATGCAGACATCTCGTAATACACTTAAAATATAATTATGCAAAAGAGCTGCAAAAAAGCAGAGGTGGCTGAGTGTGCTGACAACTGAGATGTATTTTGGCCCCAGCTCCTGCCCATGCCTGTAAGAACCAAGCAGGGACATACACTGCTGAGTACATCGGTGTATCAGTATTTTAAGAAAAGGGTAAAAATCCCCCCAAACCCATTCTGCCACATCTTTAGGAAGATGCTGACAATGCCAGAGCCCCTTCTCTTCCTGTCCATCCCACAGCCTGGGGACAAAGACTCTTCTGGGGCTGACAGGAGGTTGCCTCGGGACCAGGGAGCAAAGAGCTCTGTTTCAATTATTACAGAGAGAGTGAGATTTTCCTTTGGAAAACAGGCTGCAAAAGCACAGAAGTCAGGTAATGAAATGACTTTTCCTTCTGGTTTCCAAGCAGCAAGCCCCAGAGCTCAGGGTCAGCCAGCGTGCTGCCCCAGCCATGCTGTGCAGCATCCTGCTGCCGGGAAGCTGTGCCTGCGCTCAGCCAGAGCCACGGCCTGCAGAAGTGGGGTTCTGGCACCTTCTCTTTTATCTAACTGCATTCTACACCTTACAGCCCTCTGGACAACAAATAACAGCACCTTGACTTTTTTTATAGGTCGTCAATGTGTCAGCAGTGTGCTGCCGCCAGCGACTGGCACCCTGACATCAGCGACAGGGGGAAATGTCAGCAGTCCTGGCACTGCCAGCTCTGCTAATTACTGCCGACGTGCAATTGGCAGCCCTGCTCCCATGTCCTGAATAACAAGGACTCTAGCAGGGGGTGAATCCAATTAGCTCGTCTGCAGAGCAGGAAAGCACTGATATCTTCATATAATGTTGGCTCTCTGTAAATCCCGAGCGTAAATACAAGAGAATTATATGGAGAGCACATATGTGGCTGTCAGCTTTTCTTCTGATTTCCTATCTGATTCTTTGCTTTAAGCAGCAAACGTGGAAGACAGTATTGCAATGGTTACAGTAATCACATATGTTGTGGGGCTGTGCGTTGTCAGTTCACGGAGATGCATCTGCACTGGTTATCACTGTGAAAGACAAGGAGAGTTCATCTGCGAGGCATTTAGTTTGGAGTTGGGGGGTACAGGGGAAAAAGCAAATGAGGAATAAAACCTCCATACTTCTGTGTGCTGTGTCTGGCTCCTGCCTCTCTTCACCACGCTGCTGCTCTAGAGATCTGCCCATAGGCCAGCCTCAGCCAGAGCTGTGCTCTGCGTCCCTCCAAACAACTGCAGCAGCTCCTCTGCCCCTTCACTGCTGCCCCCAGGTCTGTGAACCGGTCTCTTTTTAATGAGGTTAGCCAATTAATGAATACAAGCTGTAGAAACCTGGAGAGAACTACAGACTGAGCTCTTCTAAACCCATTTTCAGCTAACTAGCATTAATTCTCAAAATTTACTTAAGAAAGAAACATTAAGCTTTACTTTGAGGCTCTTAAACCATGAAAAAGCATCTACAGTAGGAATTCAGTGGCAATTGTTAAATCAAAGGTCACTGATTTAGCACATTAATAAACGAGGCATTAACATGATTTTATAAAAGATGCGTGAAGGGTATTTAGCATCACCACTCAAGGCTATCATTGATGCTCAGATCTGTTTAATGAATCTGAGTCAACACGCACTTCTGAAGCACTCCACAGAGTGATTAGCACTTTTTAAGACTGAGAATGTTAACATGAGCTAAATGAAAATCTTACGCTGTCTGCTCTGAATAAAACTGATGCATGTTAGCTCAGTAACTGGGGGAAAGTGAGCAGAGACTGAAAGCAGCTTAGGTAAGTGACACTCACTCTGATCATCAATACAGCTTTCCGGATATCTCTGATTCCATCGTACACCAGTCGCGAAGCATCAATAAATTCATTTTCATCCATTGGCTGAGCAGGGTCTGAACTCAGTGCTTCCACGGCAGCTTCTACTTGCTCAGTAAACCGTGGCATAACTGTATTAAGAGCACAGAAGAGCCGTCATTTCCAACCCAGTAACACAGATACCCTCACAGGTGAGCGTGTGTGAGCATCATTTTATTAACCGTTGCTGGAAAGTGTGCAATAGTTCCCTTTAAAATCAAAACATCTGTTACAGATGAACACCAGTACCGTTGCTTCAGTCCCATCTCCGCTGCACGTTGTGTTTATTCTGCTGCTACTTGTTTTCTTCCCCCACACACAGTGAAAAGTTTATCCCACCCTCGTAGCGCACAAAGAGAAAAGTCCTGGGGAAGCAGTTACAGTCTGTGGGATACAACATGAAGCACCTGTTTAACAGTCCCTCTAGACAGGGACACATCACTGTGGGGCACGTTACCATCACGAGGCTGGGGCTGAACGAGGCACTGAGCAGGGCAGTGTGCACCTCTGTGCCTCAGTGATTCAGCGCCGCCGCAGGAAGAACATCACAGAGCCATCTGCAGTCTGTTTGGCTCCTCAGTGCCACCCGTGATTCTTCATCAAAGTTGTAATTAAAATAAAAACAGCAACTGATCCTTGGCATAGCACTCATTGAAGCGCCCAGAACCATTTCTTACCCTAGATGGATGTTAGCAGCCAGTTCACAGCAACACCCACATTCACTCTATGGGATGGGGGACTGGGACCTACAGTGCTTCTTTTACAAGCTATACAAAAATGCACCCTCATTCTGCTGGGGCAATGCAGCACAAACCCTTCCAGATCGTGGTACAACACTGCAGGATGCCCGGCGTGCCTACAAGCCCTGACTGCTGTCTGGGACTCATTCCCTGGCACTTCTACTTGGCTCAGCTCAGGCCGACAGCCAGCACAGCCAGGGAGACCTTTTGTGCTGCTGAGTTTTAAGCCAGTCAACAAAGCAAAATTACTTTTCTCATTTTGCAACAGCTCTGCAAATAACTCCCACTAATTTTCATTACAGTATGTAAATGCAGCGTTCAATAGATTTCACGGGCACGCCGCTACCCGTCTGCCCACCACAACATGAACCTGGGGTCCTGGAAGAGCTGCCTTACCTGTGTTGGACAGCAGCTTGGTGGCTTCCAGCACCTTCTCAGTGTAGACTCCAGGTTCGTAGTTATCCATTTCAGAGGTGACAACATGAATGACTCGAGCAGCACGTCCTCGAATTGCACCAGCTGTGCGGTCTAAACCATCAACATCTTTTTCTTGGAGAGCAATGACACATTTGTTTACATCTTCTAAAATATGGTTCTCTGGTGGTAGAAGAAGGAGGATTTAGACGGTAATATCTTCTTTTCTGTCGTGCACATCAGCATTACAATTCCTCAGCGTGTGACCTGCTCTAAAAAACCTGCAGCTCGATGCTGTAAAGCATTAATTTTTAAGCTCGCTACAACCAGCAAACAGCTGTCTGTCCAAAGCAGTTGTCACAAGAACCATCGGTCTGCTCATCTGGAGGCATCCAAACCTCTTGTCCCCTTTCTGTACTCAATTTTGCCAATACAAAAGCTGGCTTCAGCTGGAGCTTCCCTAAACTCGTTTCTTCCCATACCCCAGCCCTGGGCTGCCAGAGCCCTTGTTCCAAATACCTGCAAGCCACTCCCGCTGTCCTTACATGTACGTGGCCCAGGCCACACCTCACCCATGAATGCCCTGACAGACAGGGGCACTGGGTGCACATTTCTGGCTTCCTACACAGAGCTCTCCTACAACCACACACGTACCATGGGAGGGTATCACACTGTCAGTCCTCTGCACGCATTAAGACAGGTAGCACAGGCTGTGATTTATGCCAAGTGTTCCAGCAGTGAGTACTCACTGCCTCATAAGAAAACAGAAAATAAAGCCATAAAACCTCCTTTTGTAATTTGCTTTAAGAAAATACATTCTAACAGACATGTTTTCCTTCACTCATCAAGCTCAAGAGGTTCCAAATGAGTAAAAACCCTGAAGAGATTTCTGAAAATGCCTGGAGAGGTTTGGGTGCTCATCAGCAACACCTACCCAGAACTTACAAACTCTGCTCTTACAAACTCTGTCAGACACTTCTTTAATACATCGGGGGCAATGATTTGACACTGCAATCCAACATTTGTGCTGCTTGGTAAGATGCCTCCTTTGGAAACATCCCTGCTTTGTCCTTTAAATCATTTCCAGCATTACCTTCTGCTGCCTTAATCACACGACACTGCTACCAAAGGAGCTTCTATTCCCTGCCCAGGTAGTAAGAGAGCTGTTTTGCATGAGCTGGGAGAGATGGGCAGCACATGGAGCTGAGAGAGGATTCGTATGAACTGGCTGGGAGGACTGCTGCTGGAAGAGCTCTGCCCAATTTACATAAAATTAGCAGAGCCAGATGCAATATTGCGAGACCTGTGTAAGCAACCTGGACAAATAGTGCACTTGTGAAATACCTCCAAAGGAACTCAGCCCAAAAGGAAGTTCAGCTGAGGGCAGGATGTGGCCCTACAAGAGGAAAGTGCAGGTTTGTTAGTGATTTGACAATTCATTGAGCAGGCAGCCATGCTGCAACAGCCCCGGCAAGGAGCACGCACAGCCTCTGAATTAAAGCAAGAGACAGACAGCAAGTTACAAAGGCAAAGGGAAAAGCATCAGTGTCAGGCCAAATAACATAATGTTTATTGCTCGAGTTCCTAAAAGAATAAAGTAAGCCACAGATCATTTAAAAGCCTCTTCAGATGATATGGGCTTTAATAAAGGGCATGGGCGAAACGAGGACGGATGTTTAAATGCTGCCGACCACTTAATGCCTTCTGCAGATGCAAAGTGGCCAGAAGGATGTGAGGGGAAGCCTGCAAGGGCTGCGTTTAAGCGCAGGACTGTCAGAGGCATCCACTCTGCTCCTGCTCTGCAGCTGGATGACAAGAGATGAGATGTGACACTGCTCTGTGCTGGTACAGGCACACACTTCCACCTGTCCTACAGGCACACAGACCACGGGTGTCTGGTGCTGAATGCCATCTGCTGAGGCCAAGGTGCAGGGCAGGGAAATGCTGACACACGGGTTCAGCATCACCACCTTCAGGGATGTTACAGAGCTGTCCTACATCAGCCTTGGTGCTGCTGAGCAGGAGAAAAATCTCACAGCAACAGAAGGTAACACGGAACAGAACACCAGCAGCAGCAAAGGGATCCCAGACTACTGAAGTAAGGACAGGGAAAAATGGTGTGGTTTGGTAACAAGGTAAGAGAAGGTAACAGGACAGGCCGTGTTTCTCTAGTAGAAAGTATTTTTAGAGCAAACAAGGACATTCAAAGAACTGTGAAAAGCTAAGAGAATTCAAACCCCTGTGACTGTCAGTCCTCATTCCACTGCCACAATGCACCTTGCAGCTCCCCATCAAAGGGGTCAGGAATGCCTTTTCTAAATACCTCAACAAGGCTGTTATGGGGGTGCTGGGGTCAAAGGAGGACCAAAATGTAAAAGCAAGTTCCCAAAGTTTAAGTCATAGATGTAATTCTGCTTTTCTACCATGTCCCCATGGAGGTCTCAGAACCATCTCTATGGTGGACCTTTTCTTGACAAGGGACACTGGAGAAACCAGCAGTGGTGCCAGCAGATGTGGTTACAGAGCAAACACTTGCGTGTTCATACGCTTAAAAACACAGCATTCATTCTGTAATAAGGACAATCAGTGTGACCACAAGTCTTCATCTAGAGGCTCTTAAGAAACAGCTCCACGGTGGGCAATCGCCAGCTCACACCTCCATCAGCACCAGAACGGGAGGCAGCAGATGGAATGGTTTTTAAGAGGGTTCTGAAAGAGAACCAGGTGACTTCAGAACAGGCAGAGCGCTAGGGGATGGGACAGGAATCACAGGAGGTACTGAAGAGCTCTGAAGGGAGGAATAATGAACAGGCACTGCAGTCAAGATGACGGAGGAGGCGCGGGACGAAGGTCTGTACATTTACACAGCATGAAGTGAAAAAACTCTTCCCACCTTCTACAACTGGGGGCATCGACTGGAGCAAATAGGTGACGTGTCAAAAATAAGGAGGCTCTTCACACGGAGCACAGCTAAGGCTGTGAATTCTGCACAAGATGCTGGAGATGTCAAGGGGTGACAATGGCTGAAAGCAACTAACACGAGCTTAAAGAGAAAAAGCTGTCAAGAACTGTTCAGAAGGTATCACCTCCGCTGCTGGAGCGCCCTGGACTGCAAACCACTCATGGCTGGGAGCGTGCAGGGAGGATCCTTAGTCTTTAGGAGTCTCCTGTCACTAATTTCCTAGGCCCTAACAATTAGCCACTGCCAGACCATTGTCCATCCTAACAGAGCCTTTCTCATGCTGTGCTCTTCGTAAAGCCAACCTCAACTCTGCACAGTTAGGTGTCCTCATTCCTGCCCCACCATCCGCTATCATCCAGAATGAATGTCTCTCTCATCAAACCTTTTCTTCATTATAACAATTCTAGCATAAATTGATCAACAAAGCATGAGTTTTATGCTGAGCATTGCAGGAATGTGATGCTGTACACAAACACACAGGCTGCAAGACCACTTTTTTATTTTGCTTACATCCCAGTTAGCAATCTATATAAACCCCACTGTGCTCAAAGATCCCAATAACCCCAAAGGAACCTGGCATAAATCACAGCCATCACCATTTTATCCAAAGACACGTTTCGACTTTTAGCAGAGAACTGCAGCAGTGGCATTTATATGGAAAGCATTTATCAAAGTTCAAACAAATAATACTCGCAGCAATATTTATTGCTTTAATATTTTTCAAACACCTCTCTGATAACGCAGCAAATACAAACAACTGCTGAAGGCACTCGAGCATCTGAAGTAGTCACTATGCGTGGCATTTCCACGGCATGGCACACAGGGCAGGGAAGCAGCCTCCTGAGTCAGCCAGGCGCTGACCCCAGGACAGAAATGCCCCCTGCCTATTGAAGGCCCTGCAACCCTCCAGAGCCATTCAGCAGCAGGCCAGCACCACGACTTGCCCCCTCCAAGTACCCATCTCAGCGAGGGGGCTGCACAAGGAAGGACACCACTCGGTCCTGCTGCTCTGACCCATTCTGAGCCCCACCAGCAGGCAAAACACAGCCAGGCGGCTTTATGCAGGCTGCAGTTCCACAGAATAACAGCTTTTTCTCTTTAAAATGTTTTGTACGCTCGTGGACAAACTCCAAATGGAGCCATGAACTTCAGCACACAATTCTCTCTAAATATATTTCCCCAGAAATAGGCTCCTCACAGCTGTGCAATTTCAGCTGCTGCTGCAACGAAGAACACGCAGAAAGATAACGAGAACGAGGACGTTCAATTGCCGAGTAAGCTTCTGCTAACTCACTGCACAGAAAGCTTTTATTCAGAACCCAGGGCATAAAACACACACGATAATACTGATAACTCTTTGTTATCTGTATTTTCACCTGCACTTTCTAGATACGTGCACTCGGAGCTTCCGATCCCACACATCCTCCCATGAAATATCGCTTTACGACTTGGCTTTCTAGGTCACTGGAGATGCTCCAGTCTGTTTGCACCAGGAAAATTAGGCCCCGGGTTTGTAGTGGCAATTTGTGAAAGCTAGTGCAGCCACAATTCATGTGTTATAGCTCTGTGTCCTCTGACTCAAGTGGAATTAGAGGACGTGAAAATAAAAATGCCCCTATTATTTCTAGGTCACAGCAGCTACTAGCGGGTCTTTATCATCTGATGCTGATAAAACAGGTTATCTTGGCAAGCACTGTGACAAATGGAATTATTAATGTATTGTGATAAGTATCTGATCTTCCTTAAAAACATTAGTAAAACTGATGTGATTAAAAATATTCACAGAACGTTTTCTATATGAACAGTTTTAATTAACTTGTACGATTATAGCTGGGTATTAATTTTTAATGAGGTAAGAAGAGTCCGAGGTGAAAGGAGGGACTCTGCTTTCTGCCAGTTCGTAGCCTGAACACTCACATCTTCTGTTTCACTGCTGTTAGCAGTGAGGTCTCCCTCCCAGAGCTACATGGCAATCCATGGGAAGCTCACTAGCAATTCTAGATCCAGAGATTCAAAGCATCTCTCGCTATATTTAAGCCGGTCTGCCTGCTGACATGTAAATATATACATTTATGCATGCTCACTCTGTAAGAGCAATGACAAGTTTCTAGAGTACCTGCTAACTAAACTATCACTGCTTTCACACTTGGAAAAATACCTTTTCTCCTTGTGCCAAGATCTCCTGCTCTATTTTTACATCACACTCAGCTGAAGAAAGTGCTTGCCAGGTGAAGTGTACCAACACCACTCCTTCCAAAAACTACAGACTCCAGAATGTGTGGATACCACTGGTTTCCAGAAATAAGCTCAGTGAGGAGCCTGTTTCCCAGCCCCCCATTACCTGACACAGCCAGGAAGTCATCGATGGAGGTGATGTCATCGACGGCGTCGGTCAGCACGCGGACTTGCTTCTCCCACTGCTCTTTGAAGAGCTCCATGTTCTCCTGGGCCAGCTTGCTTTGTGGTTTTGCAGCCAGGGCCAGGGCAGCGTTGATGACCTGCAAAACACCTCTGGATTTTTAGAGCGTTCTCCTAACTAAACAAGTAGGTTCTGTATGTTTATCCAATGAACTCACCAGCAAACAGAGCAAGTTTAGTAAGTTTTCGGGAACTCGATGTTTAAACATGAAAGTGTTTATTCTGATGCTTTCACACCCAACTCATATGTGCTCCCACATTTATTATGGTCAGCTATTACACTCAAGGACACCTGGCAGGCATTCACAGCAGCCAGCTGCACCTTTCTCTAACAGCTCATGCTAAAAAGGCACAGCACCTTTCTGAGCACAGGTTATGTTGGTAAATATTCAGACACAATGCTGTTGGTTCACTGGAGGCTGCATTTCCTAAGCTACTCACCAGAACCTGAGAAAAAAGGTCCAAACGGATTAAGTTGACAGTTTGAAGCAGGAACAATACACAAATACAGAATTCAATATGTATTTTGTATTTATCTTCTTTTCCTTCAAATTTTAGTCTGTACCTCACCAGTAATTGTTACAATGGCTTAAGTCTTCTGTTAGGCTCTGGAAGAGCTGGATTAGGCAGGAAACAGGAGGAGAGGGTATTTGGTGCTCCCCTGCTGCTCCTCCCAAACACCCCTGCACGTTTTCTTCAAGCTCTTTGTTAGACTGTAATTCCTTCTAATCCTACTGTTTTGCTAAGCAGAAGTGTTACACACACTGCTGGGTAACAAACCTATGCTGTGCCAACTCCTTGGTCAGTTAAATGTCAAGAAAAGCCTCTCCAGGTGTGGGAAGGAAGCAGCCACAAAGCCTGCTCCTCTTCCAGCATCCACTCTGGCTCCTCTGTGTGTTAGCAAAATGACCTGGAGACATGCCAGGCACGGGAAAACCTCCAGTCAGACCAACATGACAATCCTAATCTTGTTTTCAAGCTGGAGTGTTAGAGCTAATTAACTCGTAAGTTCAACGTGTAATTTTTCTTCTCTACTTTAGGACTGCATTAATTTCACAAAGTTGTTGAACAAAACATGTAAGCGCCAGATGTTCCTGCTTTTCCAAAATCGACGTTTCCTACCTGCTTCATTTGAAAGTGTCACAAAGCATTTAAAAGAAGATGTAACTCACTAAACGTGGAAATGATGATGTTGAAGATATCATGATGGCGTCGAATGAATCAGGAGGAGGAGGCTGATTCACCCAAGGGATGCCAGGAACGAACAGTGCCTGAGCCAAGCTGTCCTGCTCTGCAGGCTGCCACACTGCAGCTGCAGATGGAGGCTGGGAATTTTGGTCACATCTATAAATGAGCTTGATGTAACAAGTGTGCAAACATGAAAAACAAACAACCTGGCACAAACCACAATCAGGTCAGGAGAGCTGCTGTGCTGAAACACACCTGGCAATGACAGCACTGCCCCTGTCCTTCCTGAGCAACGTGTCAGTCCTCTGCTGTTCTCCCTGCCTCAAAATAAAACCTGGAATTTGTGCTGCCTGTGCGAGCAGCTGCAGGAACTGGAGTCCCTTTGGGGAGCCGTGGGGCGCAGGCTGCTCCAAGTGCTTCAATCTGTCTGTGGGACTGTGGCTCTCCAGCCTGGGAGCTCTGTAAAAAGCCTTGTGACATGCATGGAAATTAAGTTCAAAACTTCAAATCAATCAGAAATAGAGGTTTTAGAAAGGGAAGCCCATTTTCTGGTCATGGAGCCTGGCTCTTAAGTCTGGCCATTGCCATTTCTTGCCTCGGCCTCATTTACGTAACCCATTATCCACCTAGCAGTGACAATCTAGATATCCAAAGTCTTATGAAAATGAATGCAAAATGATGAGCAATACACAAAATGGGAAAAACAGACAATGCTCCACAAATCTGCTCTGCATTTTAATCCTGCTAGCAACCACTACTACACAGACACAAGACAGCAATGACGGGCTCAGGATGCCTTCTCCTCCCCTCTCCCAGCCACCCTGGCTAACACCAGGTATGAAAACATACCTTAAGCACTCAGACAGGTCAGCCCTATTGCTGATGGAGCATATGGCCTGCGTGCCTGTGTGATGTATGTCTGGACAGAGCAGCTGGTTGAACCATTAATCTTTGTCAGCAGCACATGCCTAACCCCAGATGCCCACATTAAGCAGCTCTTCATATCTAATGGAAGAGCTGTCATAGACAGAGGGCTCAGCAAGTACTCAAAGAGCTCAAACAAGGCACTGCCACCAAATTCAAATGCGGGAGGCACAAGCTGCACCATTATCCTTCAGGCAGGCCACTCACCCATCTGGAATAGGATCCTTGTTTTGTAGTTACACCAGCAGAAAGGATCAGTCACCTCAAAGGCATCTTAACAAATCTACCAAGCAAAACCAGCAGGTGAGATCTCTCTTACAAACAGACCTGCCTTGCGTTTAGAAAGCAGCCAGCATGTGGATGATGTAGAGGCGGGGAAATCAAAGGCTGTTGAGAAGCTCTGCAGACCTAAAGCCAGAACTACAGCTCAGCACAGACAACCTCATAAAGGTGTGCACGCCTGCACGTGTGCTCAGGAGGAAATTCAAGAGAGCTGATGCAGCCCCAGAGTCCTGTTTCACAGAACACGCTCCATCTCAGTCATAAATCCACTGGTACACATTTAGCATCTGGATCTCCATCTGCACAGTGGTCACAACATCCAGTTTCAGCTAGGGGAATCAGACCTTCACTCTATCAAACATGCGAAGCTTAAGATTTACATCGACAAATTATTCCGGCCATCATCTGGCTGGAGTAATATCCCAGGGATTAGTGATCAAATCCTACAAAAAAACCCCTAACTTTCCAGGTAAATACACTCTTACATGATGTCTGGTACCCACTACAGAGCAACTGATTTATTTTCTAACAGATGCTTGGACAGATTTGGCAGAAGGACAGAAATACGGGACCTTCTGTGTCTGTGTACGTTGAGGGCGGTGGGCACTGCAATTCTTCATTATCTAAACCAAACATTTTGGAGTCAGGGTGAAGGGACTGATTGAAGTACACAATTATTCCTGCATAAAAGCACGAAACACTGGGCATTTAACTGTATGAAATCATCTACAATACGAATAACTTGTAGGAAGGACACATATAGTCAAAAATAGGCAGAATATGGCAAGACTACCTGAAATGTAGCTGCTTCCATGTGAAACACTTGGCAACGCAGGGAAATATTCTGTATTTCAGAGCTTCTCAAAATTCTGCCAGAGCTCTGTGATCACAATGACTCACTGAAGTTGTACAAAGAAAAGAATCAAACAGGGACATTTGAGACTATCCAGAAGGAAATGAAGCATGGTAAGAAAACACACTATTTTTATCGATGCTTTGTTTCACACAGCAATTGCAATGCTCCAGTCAGCCCAGCGCCGCGCTTCCAGCAGCTCCTGGAGCAGCTCTCCTGTGCCTGCAGCTGCAGCCAGGCCTTGGCAGCCCTGCCCTGACACAGGGGAGGCTGGGGATCCAAAGCCTTGCAACTGATGTCTCAATCTGCATCTCACAGCCTCGTGGGAATAATCTGCTTTTTGCCCTGTTTGTTTGCTTGTTTCTCTTCTTTCCCTATTGAAAAAAGAGATTAAAGACTGAAAAACTTTTTGGCCCCGCATCTGGAAGACTGACACAGAAGCTAGGAGAAAGCTCCTACACATTTGTTTTTCCTACAAAGAGCCATTCTGAACACTTGGCTGGCACGGCCGAAGGAAGAAAGTTCACACGGGAGAAGAAAATTACTTACTTGATTTGCTTTGCAATTCTTACCTATTGTACCTTAAGATTATCTCAATGCACAGAACACCCATAAGCTACATAACAAGTTGAGTCAGTGGCTGTAAGCATTAATTTTGTGTCATTTTCGCCTCAATGTTTTTCATAAGGACCTTTTGCTCTTTGCAGGACGCTGCTCCTCCTGCAGCTGGTTGCATTTTGCCCTGTTTCCTGTGGCACTGGCTTTAGGATGATGCTGTGCCTCTCCAAGGAGCACCCACACACCTCCCCGCTCCTCACTAAACACCTGTTCCTTACAGCCCAAAGATCTGGAGTTAACTCTTGCTGAAGCTGCCCACGCCAGGACTGCACCACACATCACCCCTCACTTGCTCTGTTTTCTTGCTGTCACCCCACAGGCAGAGGCCATGCAGTGCTGCCATGCTGCTCTGACCCCCAGGGCTGGCTGGGAGGCACCATAAGAGCACAGGGAGCACAGTTCTCAGCTCACAGCTCCCAAATGATCACCATAAAGATTCCTGCCCTGTGCCTCCCAAGCTGCCCCAAGCTGAGCCCAGCAGGATGCCCCAGGCTTAGGTGGATTTTCACACCTGTGTTTTTCTGCATTGAAGAAAACACAGCCTGCTTACTAGCAGCTTATAAGGACCTGCTCCTAGCTTCATTTTCCATATCATAGATCCCAAAATTATCACTATCTTCATGCCTCCTCCTCTGCTCCCAGCTCCATTTTGCTACAAGCAGGAGCACAGTTCGTAAGCAGGACATTTAAGTCACTTCCACTTACATCCAGCCCCAGGTTTGCATTCACATGCCTGTGTGCCAGCCCTCCACGTACTTCAACACAGCAAAAAGCACTCTGCAGACTGATGAGTTGAAATGCCTGGAAGCAAAACACGCAGAGATTGCTTTGCACGATCTCCAGCTGTAATGGCAGTGACCAGGCAGTGGACAGAGGCTGATGCACCAGAGGAGAATCACAGAATCATAGACAGAATCAGAGAAGTTGACTTACGACTTCCACTTCTTTGTTCCAGTATATAAAAGGTACTTAGACCACTCTCCTTGCCTTTTTGGGATTTGCTTCAGGAGTCTCTGCAGAGGATGCTTCCTCCTGTTGCTACAATGCCATCAGTGCTGACACAGACTTTTCTGGAGCAACACAACCCTTCCCAGAAGGGAATGCTGCCAACCAAGTGATTTTCTATATATATGCTGTATATGGATAATTATCCTATCAGCTTCCTCACATAACAGAAGCACTTCTGTAGCCGAGGGCTCACATGGTAACAGCAACCCATGCAGAAGGTGCAGGAATTTTGAGCCATTTGTTCTGGTGCCCGTTTGTGTGGCTCTGTACAGCATTTCCCTGACTTGAAGCAGTGAAAGTTTGGGGGTTTCAGGGAACAGTGGCATTTCTGGAAGCTGTTCTCCTACTGCATTCCACAGCCCATACTGTGCCTGTGAAGAAAACACACGGTCCTTGCCCACCTCTCAGCCCAGAACTGAATCTTTATCCTATTGCTGATTCCTTCTATGTAAATCCAGTGAATCAGTAGCTGCTCAGGTTTCTGACATTGTTTCTCTGCTGGCCACTCCTGTCCTGTGCTGGTTCTTCACAGTAAGCCTTCATGACACAGAACTGCAACTTCAATGTTAACTTTTACGCAGCAGCCTTCATGCAACCTGCAACCCCTGCGTGGGACTCCCTGCACTCTGCATTTTGTTGGTGTGGCAGTAGGTGTGACCAGCATACGTAACCACCTGCCTCATCAGAAATCTATAAGCAGCAAATTGCTTTTCAAGCATTTCAAAATTGGAATGTATGGATGTGGAACAGCAGTCATTAAAAGAAGACGTTAATACAAGAAGAGCCAATTTATTTTTATAAAAGATGTAATCTAATCCAAGACTCCTCTGAAGCCTGTTTAATCAGTGACACTCATTGACTGCGCAGGGTGGGTGAGCTCTGCTAAATGCTGGCTGTGCTACAGCAGCACGGAGCGAGCAGGGAAAGGATGGTGCAGACACTGCCTGGTGCCCTCGTAAGGCAATGAGTGGTGCTCAGAGCAAACCCTGCCACTTACGGATGGGACAGCAGCTCCTGCAGGTCCATCATGCACCTATGGGGCGATGGGCTCCAGCACGTACTGTTGGAAGCAAGCACCCGATCTGTGGAAGTTCTATTCTGTAATTAGTTCCTGAAATTCTGACTACAATTTCACTATAGATCTACAGATAACTTTAAAGGCTTTAAAGAATGAGAAAGTCAACAAATCGCTGGTAAATGCAGCTGCAAGTGGCAGCAGACTGTCACATCAAAAGGCTGCAGCGATGCTCTTTCCTTTCATGAGCCATGCTGGGGCATTTTCACTGTTGCTTCCTCAACACCTACAGCTTGTATGATCAGAAAGCTTGCTATGGCTAAGCTCTCTTCTTAGACATCTTAAATTCAAAATGCTGTTACAAAACAGCTTTCGCAGGCTCTCGAAGTAAGTGCTTCTTGGAAACAGAACTCAAAGCCAAAGTTACAAGCAAGGATCCAGGTTTTTGAGCTGCGATAAACAAAATCTTTCACTAATTTACAATTGGCAAGATCTGTGCTTAGCAAGAAGGCAAAGAAAACTTCCCCAGCGCTTTGCTAGGCAAACGGGAGCACAAGCAACTATTTCAAGTATTTCACAGCAGTACTTTTCCTCTTCCATTCAGAAAGAGACGTTCAGCATTTTATTTTCTAAACATTTAGCTGTAACAACCAAGGACTTTTGTTCCTTCATGCCGACACACGGCAGACTTGCCCCTTTCCCTTCCCACCAGGGGAGGCACAAAGATGCAGGAACACAGGTAAGCCCTGCGCAAAGCTGGAAGAAATCCTTGTGCTTCAACAAGCAGAATTCCAGCAACACATGCCCTCAACCAAAAGAATGCAGGCAGGCTTCCAAGTCCTGCCTGGCTTCACAGGAAAGCACAGCGACCCCTAATGTGGTGTGATTTCAGCTCTGGGAGCCCAGCCCAGCAGCACTGACCCAGCTGGCTGCTACAGAGCACACAGCTCTTCCCAGCGGTTCTTCCTGGGCCACAAAGCAGAGTTTAAATGCTAGATTTAGTCTCCAGCTTTGCCTTCTGCATTAACTGGCTGATCACTCAGCAAACAGCAAGGCTGATGTGACTCAAATGACTTCTCTGGAGGAAAAGCAACCCAACCACACAGCCCCAGTGCTGCTGTACAGCGGCATGCTGTTGTAGTGACTTCTCTGATGAACAATTTTCCACGCCTTCTCTTTGCTGTAATAATTAAATTTCAAACCTGCGATGCCTGAGCCCTCTGGTGATGCGGGCAGTGAATGGATTCTTGTCGACACCAACAAAGCTTCCAAGCCTTGTTTGTCTGCAGAGCTGCACCATCCTGGCTTCAGCTGAAGAAGGCAAGTTATCGCAAGGGACCGACTAACCGCTCTACCTGAGATACTGCTTTTATAATTAACTCTACAGATTGATTTCCGCAGAAATCGTTCTTTAACCAGGAGTTCCCTACTCCCAGAATGGCCTCTGCACTGCTAAGCTATTTAAGAAGTTACCTGGGGACTTAATCAAGTGCATTAAATTTCAGTTTCATCCTTTCCACCACGGCAATGCCTTGAATTAAATTTCATACATTATATTTCCTTGTGATATTGATATATTCACTTGAGTTTCAGAGCGTATTATAATTACTGATTGACTTGACTCACTCTGAATCCAGCATCTTTCTGGAAAAATACCATCTAAGCAAAAAAAAAAAAAAAAAAAAAAAAAGGCAGATAATATTGGAGTAAATTTGTATTTTATGCCTAATTCGCATGTTTGTCACCTAACAATATCCAAGAATAAACTGTGCATCTCGTCAGAAATAAACTGCAAAATAAGCCTGTAATTGCCTCTAAAAAGCAGCACCTCACTGTGCTGCTCCGTGCATCTGAAAGCATCTGGGGTTTATCTGGGGTGTTCAGTGGCAGCCGACGAGGACAGCAGCGTGCTGCACTGCACAGACTGCCACGAGACAAACTCCTGAAGTGTTAGGAGAAAGCAGATGCCATTTGTAGAACAGTTTAAATAAATGTCCCTAAATATCTCTCAGGATTCACATGTTCAAATACTCTCAGAGCATTAAAGTATCAGCCAGAGAACACAGTGCAACATAAAAGCACTCTCACAAGCCCTATGAACATCTCTGGCGTTATTTGCTAATCCCCTGACTGCCCTAAAACTCGGGCGGATCGCAGAGCGGAGCATCAGAACTGCAGGCTTGGAAGCTCAGATGTGGAACTTACATAAAGCCAAAATTCATCAGTTCCAGCCCTCCCTGTCCATATCACCACAGCTCCCAGCCACACCAGATGCATCATCCACAATCCCTGAAAACAAAGCTTAACAGCTGCACCTTGGTATTTGCGACCACAGTTTTGTGACTACTGGCTGTAGTTTATTATTTCACGCTGACTTGGCTGCCGTGATGCTCATCTTATATGGGTGCAGACTTTTTTAAATAGGAAGCTGTTGGACAGGCAAAGAAAGAAGAGATTGAAAGAACTTACAGATCTGCATAGGTCCCTTCTGTTCATACACGTATGGAAAAATGGGAACACATTCCAAGTACCCCTGAGATGACAACATACCTTGTTTTCACACAGTGCCATATGACCATTTTTGAGGACGTATTTTCCATTAGTATCTAGTTACCAACAGCAGCATATTTGTATGTTTTAAACCTGAACTTCCTGATGCTTTACAAGACGTAACCACAAGAACTGACAGCACAATGCAGCCCTCAAAGTTCATTCCAGTTTCTTGATATTTTAAATGCCAACAACTGGAGTATCAAAATGAAAAAGCACAGCCTGGCTCTCATATAAACCTAATTTCCTTGCTGTCGTTAAGAAGTTATTAATTAAAGGACAGTTTCAGACAGGTTGAAACTCCTCTTGCATAGCCAGTTTTTACTGATTGTGGCCCATCAGGAAGATTTATTGATGTATTTATATTCTACTTATGTGTAAAAATAACAATCACAGCACACACAAGAGCAGTGGCAGTGTCTTTACAACACATCTTCTGCAACACGAACGTCCACAGTAACCAGTAAACCTGTGTCACAGGTTACAAGAATTCCCAGCAAGAGGAACTTACAGCTACTATGTAAAGAAGAACCTCAAGATTTATCTTTATCACTCATCTAATTACTTTCTATTGTGTAGTTTCAAGTATGTAAGTCATGATGCATTTAATTCTCTACGTGCACAAAGGAAAATGTCAAGACCTGCAGACAAGTCTATAAGCAGGCATCAGAACCACTTGCCAAGTTATCCAGGCAAGGTGCAGGTCCTTATGTGCTTCATTACCTGGGGACACAGGGCTTCAAGCTGGCTGGCTGACATGCGAACCAATTTCACACCTTCCTCGTTGTTGGAGATGGAGCAGGCCAAGTTGGCAACCTGTGTCAGAAGGGGGAAAAAAGAAACAACTGTTAGCAAGTGATTTTTATTTTCTTCTACAAGGAGCTTTGTGACCAGTGACATATCACAAAATGCAAAGTGTTCACAATGATTCAGTTCTAATGAATTCTGAAATCACTAATGACATTTGTTCTGTCTCCAGTCGCAAAATATTGGATGATAAAATTGAATGACTACTCAGAGGACAGACAGCTCTGTGTCTCCACCCACCTGGTTAAGTTCTTGACAGTAAATCAGATGAGAGCATCACTGGCAGCACGTGAAGCCAAAGCTGAGAGGCCCATTCCAACTCAGTGAGTGAGACAGCAGCAATCAAACAATTTGAAAAACAACAATTCAGCTTCAACACACGTGAGGATTAAACGTTCTGATGCTTGCACGGACACTCTCTTGAAAGATCTGTACATCCAGCTTAATGTGAACCCAGAAACACCTGGAGACAGGCTTATCGTGTAATTCACATCTGCAAGAAGTGCAGAGGTGCTGCACAGCTCCCTCTGTTCTGCTGATGCTGTACAAAGCAGAGCTCAGTGATGGCACACTGGATCCTGATGCACTCCCCACTGAGTGAAGGGCTGCAGGACCCAATGGGCAGAACGCAGCCCTTGTCTGAGCTGGAATTCACCAAACAAAGCCACGTGCTGGTACAGATGACACTGAAGACCCATCCCCGCTTCCCCAAAACTGGAACAGCATCTCGTGATGCTAAAACTTTACTCCCAAACCTTGACCTGCTGCACAGCAGCACTCTTAAGTAGGCCACTCTGAACCAGAGGACCTTCTGTTACCAACTGCCTTTTAGGAGCACGCAGGATGGGGACAGCACAGACTTTTTTGGTAATTGAAGATATTCCTCGTATCGGAGCTACTCTCAGGGGAAGGAAGTCTGAAGTAAGTTACATTTTGCAGCTGACAGGTGAGTGACAAGCATGTTATTCTGAGCCATTTGAACACAGAGCTGTAAAAATAGTACGGAGTGAACTGAGACGAACACTGAGTACTGTCATTCCAGAGGCAGAGCAACCTGCAGAACCCCAGTTAAGTGTTGTAAAGCACCACCGTAAACCAGCAGATACGCAGCAGCACCGCAAACCAGGTTTCTACACTGACTTTCCTCTAAAAAATGGGGAAACTCCATCCTCCCTTTAGTTCAACCACCCCGTGCATTCGTACACAAGTCACTCTGAAGTAGTACTGGCAGCTGTATCATATGCCTTCCCCCTCCCCAAGCCGTTCCCTTTACAGCAGATGTTCCCACACAGAATACATTACTGTCCCACAAACCATCAACCACATGCCAACAGACTTGAGTGGAGTGTTTCATCAATTCCATTATTAATTTTGGGACCGCAGCAAAGTTCCCATCGCAAAGCGCGCATCTTCCTTCCCCAGATCCAAATCGAGTTACAAAGGATGGAAAGCCGTCAGCTGTCAGGAGGAGAGGTATGCTTCCAGCACTGCACGACTGAGTAACCAGATGCTGCAGCATATATTTGGACAAAAACAAACCCAAGTTGAAAGGAAGACCACGCGGCATCAACACACGCCGCACAGAACTGTGCCAGCTTTCTGCAACACCACTGCTGAACTTCTCCGCTTTCTTTTCCGCCACGGTCCGTGGAGAAAAGGCCCCACACCAATAGGTGAGGCTGCTGCACGCCTCAGCTCCCTGCAGGGCTGTGCTGTGTGCTCCCAGCTCAGCAGGGGTTCTGTCACCCCGCGTGGCACAGCCACCAGCAGGGCACCCTCAGTGACACCTTGCCAGGAAGGTGCTTTCCTTTGGACAGAGGGTTGGTTGGTTGTTTTTGTTTTTTTTTTTTACATCTGCTGCATCTTAAATCCCCAGCTTGCAGTGAGCTGTAGTATATTACGCTTTTGTTTAGAGGCTCAAAAATAAAAGGACAGTAAGATGTCATGATTTAAAAGTCAAATAAAGGTTTTGCTGTTGTTTTAAGCACGGGTCATATTTTTGAGAAATACCAGTTTGCCAATACTTCTCACAGTCCGTATTTCGACGTCATTTCTGCCTCCCCAGCAGCAGTTATGGCTTCTAGAAGTGAGAAGAACACAAAGCCCTATTGAGATGGGGCTGGATAAAAGCTACATTGAGGCACTGCAGAATCAGCCTCTCCGCTATCTGGAGATGTTGTGCTCTCTCTCAAGCCAAGTGTGATGAATCAAGTACAGAGAATCCTCGCTCTGTCTGAATACAGAGAGGCAAAGAAGTTGGTAATTGAGTGTCCCCACCATGGTGCTATGCAATTTTGCTTTTTTGCACAGTCATTTTTGTACAGTCATTTTTCTTCTGAATACCTCACTGATGGCAATTCTTCTTTAGAAACGGCCCGACTGGGACTGCCAACCTTTATGAAAGAAGTGTGTGTGCTTCCGTGACTGAGCTTCCTTGGCAGTTTAAGACAATCCAGTTGCTGGCTGCCACATTCCATCCTACTTCTGTGCCTCCAAATCTGAACACTTCATTTCAGCGCGTTAGTCCAAGAGCAAGCTATTTGCTTTGGCAGATTAGCTTCTCTGCCAGATTAGCACACAAACTTCCCAGCAAACTGTGCTGAACATCAAATCTACAGCAAGAATGTCACGATGAGTTTAGAGTGCAGTGGGTCAAACCCCAAGCCCACAGCAACGCAATGCTTACTGCACAGACGCTCTCAGTCTGTTGCAACAACTCACAAACCTCCTAAAATACCACATTTACAAGTGCTACGTCAACTTATTAATCAAGCTGTAAATGACATTACAGTTACGTATTTCAAATTGTCATTAACTAGCCGGTGCTCCATGGCACAAACTGTGGAACAGCACACAGCGGCAGCACTGGGCGCCTGGACGAGTAGGAAACTGAACTGTGAAGTGTCTGAAAGCACAGTTCATTGCTAACTCCTGCCTGGTTCCTGGCAAAGAACGTCAAGCTCCCTGACGGGGGGAGGAGAAGGAGCTCCTGGCCACACGAGCACATAATGCACAGGGTTCTGTAGCCAAGATGAAGATCAAAAGTGACTAAATTTGTTCTAAAGCATGCAGAGCATTTGGAGATCATATACATTTCTAAACCTTTCAAATAAAACAGAGCACCTCAAGCAAACAGAAGCTCCCTTCAAATCAAATGGAAATGAAATAGTTTTCCCGTCTCGCCAACAACATAGCTGACTGACATAGTAAGTGGTCAGATTTGATTTAGAAAGAACACTTGTGCTTGAGAGCAAAATAGCAATTGAATTCCCGCTGCATTTGTTCATTCTTACCATTCAATATCATCAAGCCCCTTTACATAAGCACTGCTGG